ATTGGGGCATCGTTTGGAACGGTGCGGTATACACAAGAGTCATGAGTAAGCCCTTCGTATGCTAGGCTATTGGGCGTACCAATTGTTTGAGAAGTAAGCATATGCGTAAAATCATCAACCAAGTTGACTCCACTTGATGATTTGAAGATATTGCCAGATTGTACAGCCGAAGAAATGGACGTCGATAGAAGCGCTGATGATGCAGAAGTTGAAGAGCCGGTTTGACCTGCAACTGGTCCAGTAGACATGTATGCAGGCTGCGTTACGTCTCCGTGATGGATATGTTGTTTTGCTTCGAGAGATGCAGAAGATGAATGAAATAAATTTGACGATAGTCCCGACACTTCAGACTGCAAAGCAGCATTAATCTCAACTCCAGATGTAAGCGGCGATGAATTATTTCCTATTTGGAACTGAACTGAATTCAGAGAAGTGGCAGGACAAGGGAAGGAAAGGGAGGAAGTGGAGCTAGATGACTTGTTTGCTTCTCCAGATCTTCTCCAGTCAGAGCCAATAGAAATACTTGCTAAGGAGGTGGCATGAACAATACTGCCTGTGAGAGAAGTGGTGGTGCTGGTCGTGGTACCAGAGGTCTTACCCAAAGACGCGCTAGCAGATATAGAATGACCAGACAAGTTGAAACCAGGGAGGTATGCTGGAGAACAAGTAGAGGACCCAGTAGACATTATAGTGACCCCGGCTGTCTTAATGGTAGAATGCGCTGCATATACGCCAGTAGAGGGTGCAATGGACCCGGAATGGCTGGTTGTCATGGTCACTACATTACTGACAGAACAATCAGCAATGCTAGAACAAACACCGCCACTAGCTGTCGGGGCAAACTTCTTTCCCTCCGTTGAGGAGAGGGAATCAGAACGAGAGTAATAACCAGAGCTGGCATTCGATCCATTGGAGTGTATCCTTGAGATTGGGCAAGAAAGAACAGTAACAGGGATAGCCGGAGCAGTCGTATGAGTCGGGATAACGGAGAATTCATCGGCTTTGAGTTCGACCAGTTTATGATCGATTTGGCCGCGTGAACAAGGTTCATTTAGGTTTTCGCAAATACCAAGAGCAAACCCGGTAGAATCGGAGGTCTGTGATTGACTGTGGAATTCAACATTATTCGCATCGTCAGTCAAGGCTAGACCAGTGACGGGAAGTGAAAGATTGTCAACTCCCACTAGATGATTCAGAGATTGGTCGGCTTCTGTCAGATCGGCAGACTGAACCAAGCAGAACTTTACAGTTTGAGGAGGCTCCATTTCAGCGAGGACAGAAGTTGAATCCAATGCTTTCTTATCGGAATCGGGTTGAAATTGGCAAGGGTTTAGTGGCGTAGAGGGAAAGCCAGTGGGTGTGGAGGGAGGAAGTGGACTGGGGGGCGAGGAAATGGTGATATTCGGCCATGTGAGGATACCAGATGAGGAATCGGAAATCGGAGCAATTTGATCATCGGAGTTCTGGTATGTAAGTCTGTCACACTGAATAGAAGTCTGAGGGAAAGATTGTTTTACCAGGCGAATGGAGCGATTGTTTTTGTGCGCCTCAATAATAGCTAGAGAAACTGCTACTGAACGCGGAAGTCTAGAAGAGAGTGGGGGACGATGACGCTCCATCCAAGGATGAATAAGAATGTCGACTAGCGTGGGTCGTTTGTCTGGATCTAGATTCATGCAGCTCCTTAAAGGGAAGGGATGTGAAGAAGAAATAAGACCAACGAACGAATAAATTAAGGAACTAATAGGTATACGAAATCTCACCCAATTAGATCTTTAGCAGCAGCACTGAGATTATCTTTGCGATATTTAAGCTTGCCTCCGGTTATTCCTTTGTCGTTTATGAAAGGAATATCGCCACATAACATATCATAAAGAAGAACACCAAGTGACCAAATTTCAGCTGGCTTTCCATGATATTTTCCATGTAAGATCCACTCAGGGGGACAGTAGACACGTGTACCTACAAATGATGAGTTAATTAGCACCATTACTTGACGTGAGGTGAATACGTCGGTAGAATAAGGAAAATGACTAACCATCAAATTCATTGTACAGCCCATTTTGCAAGAGGGCTCCAGAGCCAAAGTCTATAAGGACCAGCTCATTATTTCGTCTATTTATCAGGATATTCTCGTCTTTAATATCCCTGTGTAAAACTCCCACTTCATGGCAGGAAAGGAGAATTCCTGCAAGCTGATAGAAGTAGAAAGCCGCCTCAGGCTCGGGCAAAGTTCCACGCTCGCCGATGAAATCGAACATATCACAGGTCCAATCGGAGACACGGTCCATGATAATTATCCATGATTGACCGAGGTCAAAAACGTCCAAAAATCGGACTGTACCTTGAATTGGTTGGCACATTTTAAGAAGAACCACTTCCATCGGAATGATTCTACTGTCAAGCTAGGGAGATAGTGAGAAAGATTGCGGAGCATTAATGAAAAGTAAACAAGAGCACTTAATAAACCGAATAGATCGTGTCAATGGGGATTGCAGATCTAACATGGTTAATTCGTAAATATAAAAACAGTCTAGCAAATAAAAGAAAATAAACAGATTGAGGAAATGTGCTCTAAGGGCGGAAATAAAATTAGTCAAGTTCAAACTCGCTAAAAGATGGAATATGGCTTAGGAAAACTCAAGAGAATTCGGATACTGAGTTATTTCGATACACGATACTAATGCAAAATAGGTTAAAACTCACCAAACACCAACAAGGAACTTTGCTTGTTAGGACTTCTTTGGCTATTACTTCACGATTATCAGAGATCCGCTTCGCTCGGTGCACACTACCAAATCCGCCCCCTCCAAAGCACTCTCCGAGATGGTAGCGCTTGAGAAACTCAGCATGGCCTACTTTCACATGGGCGGCTAAAAATGAAAACGAAATAAATCTTTCTAATTCTAGTCTTTCATTATTATGAACAAAGCTAGGCAGCAAAATCCTCAAACTAGATTAATGAATAATAAATAGTTCCAGAGCAAGTTCGAAAAGGATATTTGATCATACTTACTTATGCCAAGTTGACTTGAGCTCTTTTGGATTAGCTTCCCTGTATGGGTAGATACGTCAACATTTGTGCGCGACATCTGAGACGTCTGAGGCTCTACATTCCACGCGTTGGAGGACATAGTTAAATCCAAATTAGTTGCACTAGGCAGAGATCACAGCTGATTGTTATAATCCAAATGCGAATAACATAAATTGATTTAACGCCAAGCTGTTCGCCAAGTTATTCTTTAATGGGCTAAATCATGAGGGCAGAAGAGACGATTTGTCAGGAGGAAAAGAAGACGGCAAATACAGAACAAGAAGTGGAAACAGCAGGGAAGGAAAGAGTTAGAAGCAGTTCTGACGTGGTACACACCTGACTTGAAACACAGCCCAGCCTACAATACTGACCGTCCTGGAATTAACCAATAATATTAATGCTCTAAAACATAGACAAGCAGCTCTCATTTTTATTGGTTAATTTCTTTGGCGTGCCTGATAGACAGACGAAAGCCTCTCACGTGAGATAGGAACAACAACCAATAGAAGTTCAGCTCTAATATTATTGGTAGAAGGACATCAAACCTATTCTTCATGTCCCCGATGGGCCTGACTCATTGCGTCACTGGTGGCCTCTCGATGACCTCTAAGTTGTGCTTTCGGGCCACGTTTTCCAGCCTATTCTTTTGGCCGAGCCGGCCTGCGTCTGCTTTGCTATCGTCTCCTGCTCGAATCAAATGAAGCTCGTCCTAACTACTTTTCTTCGTGGCTCAATCTTTTTTATGCATGGCCGGTCAGGAGCTTATTCATTTAAATCTTTTCGTCTTGGCTCACCTCATACATGATTTAATCACTATTCAGCCTCTCTTTGACCTACCCTTAGTGTAGTAACCGATCCAACTACCACTTATTTATGTTTCCAGTTCCTTGTTCCTTCCATTGTCCTTTCCTCTCGGTAGACTATAGCTGATTATTTACACAATATGGATAAAGATCTCATCCTTTTACTTCTCTATTTGATCCCTTAACTCATCAAGGCACCCAGATCCTAGTTGAATCTTAGACTTATTCACCTTTTTATAAGTAGATCTTTGAAACTGCCAGTAGGTTTTACGAGGGGTGTGTTGACCGTATTGTGTTTAAAATGATAAAGAAATGGTAGTTTAATATTGCCACGATCATATTAGTATGCCTTATGCTTTCATTGAACCTAGCCATATTCAAAAACCTACTTATAAGCGTCGTAATGACACAGAGAGTTGCTTCATCTACAACCTCATTCCAGTAATGTGATATTGGAAAAGCCTTGTGTTAGATGAAGTTAACGTCTGTGATATGACTCAAGGGCACTCGTCTGAGTGGGACCTAGTAGCTAGAGTTCCAAGACTATACGAAACACTACGCGGGTTCGAGTCTCGCTGGGGGTGCTGATGAGAATTTCGCTAGGTCGAACCTAGCGTCTTGTGTGAAGCAAGGCTATAAGGTAATACAACGAAGCCATGAGGTCTATGCATATACTCGAGGGATAATTCAAAGACCTCTCCTTCATTACCTTAAATGATAATGTGAAAAGATATTTAAAAAATTGAATTTGCTTAACCGACGGTAAATGGGTAAATGTAAAAAATATACAAAATGGAATAGAACAGCGTAGTAAACTATCGTAAGTCATTTATGGTGCAACAGCAATTTATGATTTTCTGCAATCACAAGGCTAATATAGGACATTCTGTCATCAATTTAGGCAATTAGATTTAACAATGACTGATTTTATACTAACACAAGAATGCCATTTTTCATTGGGTAACTGAGCTTATGGATTCCAGCAAAGGAATTATGCGTTTTGAACATTCCCTCAAACATATGAAGACCAAGATATTGTGGTCTCTGGTGTGGTCGCAGTCTCCTTTCGATTGATAGAAGTGGGTTGACCTCGTCGCAACTTGGTCTTGTTTTCAGGGAGACCATGTAGAACGCACCTAGTTCGAAGTCGTCTGCCATAGTAGCCATGATTCCCAGCATCTGAAAGTGGACTTACTACATTCTCAAACGTTTCGCCGGCATCGTAGTCGGCATCATCGAGGGATTGGCTTCACTTGTCTCTTTGACGAGTTCGTAGCTTGGTGCGGCGAATGGCAAAACGTTTAAAAATGTATCAAGTCCACTGTCAGATGCTGGGAATCATGACAACTACTATGGCAGACGACT